TGCAGATGCTTTTTGTAACTGCAGTATCATCCAGGCAGAGAAGTAACTTGGCACCATTTAAAAAAGAAAAAGGCATCATGAGTTTTGAGTAGTTTGGAAGGGAACTTGCATAGCAATTCTCTTTCCAGCCCTGGCAAATGTAACACCTAGAAGACCCAAATTATTTGATCTCATTATCAAATAAGCCTCTAATCTAGGCTGCAGAATAGCACCAGCATGCTGCCTGCCACACAAGTGCAAAAAATAAAATAAAAAGGCCATCTGCCACAAAGCACATGCGTCCGGTGAGGGCCAGGGGTGAGACACCTAACAGGTGGCTGAGGTGGTCATCAGCTTAAAATGGGTTAGATCCCACTTCTTTTTTTTTTTTTCTTAACTGGGTACTAAATAGCTTTGTAGACAGAGCTTGGGGAAAATGCTCCATGTACAGATAATGTGGGGAGTGGGGGACGCACTGGATATCTAAGCTAGCTTTACCAGCAGATAAAGGGGGGTACTAAGGGGGTGATAAGATGAGGCGCTTAATGGTATGAACTGTAACTAGGGGTGGGGAGGCATATTTGCAAAAGCCTTGACGGCAATAGCAGGAAGCGTGGACTTGGTATGAGGGAAGAAGTTCCTCAAGAAAGGAAATGTGCTGATAAGCAGAAAAGATCGGCTTGAGCTGCTGTAACCCGATGGACTGCAGGGGACAGCGAGGGCATCAGAGTTCCTAGCGGTGGAGGATACAGTAACAGAGATAAGGAAGACAGGCCTGGTCTGAGGCTCGCCAGTGAATAAGGGATGGTGGGAGGGAGCATTCAAGGAGCGAGGCTGTATATATCCTATCCCCTACCGTGTCCCCTGCCTTTGCTTCCAGCAGAGCTGGAGAGACCAAGTAAACAAGCACCATAAAAGCAACCTTTACTGCAGGGAACTGAAATTCCCCCTCTGGCTGCAGAGCTCACAAATAGGTTTCCCCCACTCCAAGGGGACGAAGCATCCAGGACAAGGCTGCTCAACTTCTGGCCCATGGGCCAGATCCAGGCCACAGAGCTGTCATGTGGCCCGCATGACTCCCCACAAGCCCAAAAATTTGGCACCGGAGGTGCAATGACTGAGGCTCAAAAGGTTGAGCACCTCTCGATAATGGGCATATGAGCAAGCCGCAGGATGCCAAAGAGCCCCCAAACACTGCACTGGCTAGTTCATCTGCCTGCAGCTGCTCTTCTGCTTTCTAACATCTTGATCTCAACCACTGGGCAGACTGCTGATGAAACCCTGCTGTGCAGGTGCTGGGAAGGAAGAGCATGCACTGTACCTCAGGCAGGCGCAGCTCCAAAGCGGGGTATGACTGGCCCTTGCTTGCGAGCTCTCCCGCATTATTGTTCTGCTTGCCAAAACGCCCTTGGAGGTGAATGCTACCTACAGAAACAAAACCCACTCTGTCCTGAGAGTGACAGTCTCCTGGCTCCGGTGCTCAGGCCTACATCTGCTGATGCCTTGGCACAAGTAAGACGAGGAGAAGGACACAGTCCCAACAGTCTGACTTGCTGCCCTAATTCAAATCCACGGCAGGCTCTGAGCACGGTGGTGTTGAGCTCCTGCGGAGCTGATCTCAACATGCACGTGCTCCCTGCGTCTGAAAACTGGACCCATGTCCTACAAGCTACCCATGCAAATGCTAGTTAAATAACTTGGTGGGGAAATTGCTAGGGTTTTCTGGGAAAGAATAAAGCCAAGCGGCTGTTCCCAAAGAAAACTTGCATCCCTTTCTTGCTCTCAAGTCATGGCAGGCCAGCCTTTTAGGACAGAACGGGACAGCCCGCATGTGCTAGGTCATCTCTCTCCTGAAGAAGCCTGTGGGGTCTCTAACCTTAATTCTTTTTGCCAACTTGCGAGCCAATCCTCGGCTCCTAGTTCCCACCGCAGCGTTTCCTTGGAGGTGGGAATGCCTGTCCCTTAGCTGGCCTTCCCCATCTGTAGCTTGCCCACGGTCCCAGGGGCAATCGCAGAGCCAGGCTCAAGTGGAAATAGCTCTGAATAGATGAGGCGCCTAGTGCTTCATTTTCTTTGGACTGTCCTCTGGGGAGGAAGGGACCGGACTTCTTGGTGCAGGGAGGGAGGACATAACGCATGCATGAAGTGGGCCTGCGACCGACTGAGATGCCCCAAGTGGGTGGGGGGTTTGATCCAGATCAAACTTAACTGGGCAGAGAGGTGTCGCCGCTTGTTGCAGCCCGCGAGAACAGCCTCTGCCCCTCCTGAATCGAGTGGAGACACTGGAGGAATCCACAGGGTTTATACCGGGAGGGGCTGACTCAGTAACAGCATATTGCTGGATGCGGCTGCATGAGGCTTTGCCAGCAAAGCTGCAGCCAGAAGGTGTCCTGAACAGCAGACTGAAAACGAGCAATATGTTGTCTTTGTCTCCCGCTGGGGTGATATTGGCCCGATTGATCAAAATACTCCACTCAACAGCACTAATTTGATGGCTCCCTTTCTTAACATTGCCCCCAACCGAAAGCGTTTCGCCTGGTCTTTCTGTGACACCGCAGAGTGGGAAGGAGGATATTTCTTTGTTGACTCAAACCACATTGCGAGGCCTCGGGCACTACAGTCATGCAAAATAACTCTCTTATAGTGTTATATACTCAGTAAAAGAGTTGCCTGGGTTTGGATCGGAGTGGGGAGGGATTGGATTTTTTTTTTGTTTCCAAAAGGAAAATGTCCTGGGAAAGGCTGCAAATCCTGGCTCTGAGAGCTGGGGCAAGCGGATCTGCACCTGAAACTGCGGGAAGTGAAGTTGGAAAGTAATGCTCACGTGGCACCTGAGCTGGAGATGTCGCACATTTTTGCTCTGCAGTAGCAGGAGGGCGAGGTACGGAAGTGAAGTGTGAAGCTGCATGTCACGCTGCAGGCAACAGTGACTCAGTTCTCCAAGCAAAGCTCTCCGAGCACCGAAGCCAGCAAGAAGAGAGCGGAGCAGGGATGACTGACTCTCACCGGTCTTTCTGACTCGGTATTCCTGGACCAACCGGATCAGGACCAAGCAGAAAGCACGGTCGCTTGAACGTGAACCAAACGTTGCAAAAGCTGTCCCCTCCAGGCGGGCCGGATAAAACCGCCAGGAGGCTGAGTGGGACTTGACAGAGGAGCAAACAAGGCAGCATCACGTTCTCCCCAAAATGACCTCCTTGTGCTTTGTAAACAGGATGAGCCCTGGGAATCGCACAGAAAAACCAGCAGTTCTGTCCAGTGTGTGAACCACTCTCCACACAAGGAAATTTGAAGATGGGAGAAATGGTCTTGGGAGTGGGATTACCCCACTCCCCCCAGCGCTGCTCTTTCCCAGCTTCTTTGCTGAAAAAGCGGTGCCGGCGGAGCCGTTCGGCTGTTCCTTTTTCCATGGGATCAGCCCCCGTCGTGCCACATCCTATTTCCCACCTTGCTTTTCCCCCTCCTGATACTGGCAGAAAGCCGTGGGGATGCTGGGAGCTTTAAAGCTTCAAGGGCTTTACGTTGCAGCTTGTGTCAACCAGACCCCGGGGAAGGGAGGAGGAAACTGAAGTGTGCACTGTTCTTCGGGAGGGCTGGCACCTCCGTCTGAACTAACCTTTTGACCGTGGCTCAGCTCGGAAGGAAGCCCAAGGAAGAGCAATGATCCGAATCCTTTCTGAAGCAAGGCAGCGTCTTGTAAATGAGAGGCTGTCTCTTTTTTTTGCTTCGGGGCTGCCTCTAGCAGACACCTAGCAAGCTGTGGTGCAACACTCCTTCCTGCCTCTGCTTCAAGTGAGAGCTGCTATTTAATAAATAAAAAAAAAAAAAGCCTCGGCAATCTGAAATGAAGTGAAACTTGCTCGGTATCGAAGCCACAGCAAGGATATTAAAATGGAAATGGCTTTCTCCCTCTTTGATCACGAGGGCTGATGATTCTTAAACCCTTCCCCTGGGTCCTGAAAGCCCTGTTTAAAATGCAGGCAAGGCTGGGACACTTTTTTTATGGGCCAAGGGCTGGATGATTTAAGTGAAGTGCAAAGGGGAAAATTACTCATCTGCTAGCTACAAAAAAAGCAACCAACCTAGATATTCGCTCACTCAGATGCCTCCAGTCCCTCAAGCCGCGGAGGCCAAGTGGGGGTTTTCCCACGGCAGTGCATGCCTACCTTCCTTCCTTCCCCATTAGCTGTTTCCTAGAGCGGGGGTCCTAGAAACCGTCTTCGGGACGTCGGCCCTGTTCTGGAGGGGCAGGATGACCTGTTAGTAACACACGACTGAAAGGGAAAGGCCCGGATCTGCTTATAAGACGATTTAGGGTAGGACGTATGGCTCAAACGGCACTAGCTGAGGCGCAGAGGAATTGCTGAAGTGTTTGGGTGACTAAGGCACCGGGGAGGAATGTTTCCATGCTGCAACACTGTTAGTTCCTACAAACCTGTTAGTTCAGGATGCTTCGTTTTGGTGCAAGAGCACTGGAGACCGCTCTCTGATGCCCCGGCTACGGGGAAAGGCTGCACACACCAAAGAGACGGCGGGCAAAACACCAGCTGGGAGCGGCAGGTATTTGCAGAGCAGCAAGTGTCCAAACCTGTTCTGTGTCCTAGCCCGGCTCCGCAAGCCCTGCCCGCGGGAGGGGAGCAGCGCGCACCCTCGGTTTCCGCGTCATTGGAGCATTTAAAAAGAAAATGACGCCTCAAGGTAACCGGTGGAAGAGTGAAAGGAGCCTCTAGCAGCCCAGCTCCCCGCGGTTTACACTCAGCAGGGCCCAGACGGATTTGTGGCGCCCCTTGGGCCACACCATCTGCCCCCCCCAGGGCAGGGGCAAGCAGGGAGAGCCGCCGGATCCTTAAGTGCCACAACTGTGCCGCGCGGAGCAATGCGCCCCCCCCAGCCCGCCGGCGAGCGGGGCCGCGCGGATGCTGTGCGGCGGGCGGCGTGCAAGCTGCGGGGGGTGCATAACAATTGCTCTTGTACCCCCCCGCCCCCGCCCTAGTGAAGGAGGGGCAGCGCGGGGCACTCACCTGCCCGTACACCTGGACGGGCTCCCGCGGCTCCGCGGCGCTCCTCTCCCTGCGCGGCGGCGGCGGCCCCGCACCCGGC